ACGGAAACGCGAAGGACGAGGGATTGGCGGAAGGCGTTTGTTTGTTTGGGTTTGATGGCTTTCTGGAATTCGGGAGAGGTACGCCGGCGAATGCGCTTCGTCGATGAGCTTCCGATCTTTCGCTGCAGCTTTCGTTAGGCTTAGAGGATGCCCTGGGTGGAACGTTGTTTCAGAGGGTTTGCTGTCACTTTGTTTCCTAATGATGATGTTGAAGCTTGCAACGATAATGCGTTGATATTAGACATATTCTTCATCAAACCGAATGGCAAATAAAAGGCACAGTTCAGAGTTATCAATCAAAATAGTTCTAACACGTAGAGCCAAATCTTGATCATTTTTATATAAAATTATTCCTTTGTATCAAAGAAAAGCAGGAACAATTGTTATCCTCACAACCCTTGCAGCACTATCATCAGCTTACGTTATTAAACATTTTCATTCGACATCGGTTACCTTGCATGTCACGATTTGCAGGTAACTCAGAAGCGTCAGTCATCCGTGACTGACATGTCACTTAGCTCGTTAACGAATCTGACAATCCACGGCACGGAAATTATTCACATCCACGTGTAATTCATTAACAATCGCACAAGTTTCATTTGAAACCCTTCTGAAACTGATGCCAGGGAAACCAGGAGAGACATTAAAATCGTCAACCGATCGTGAGCTGTTATCCGAGGGCTGTATTTACATACTGAACTCAGTCGCGTCGCTAGCATTCGCTGTCGAAACGTCATTCTTCGGGACACGATCATTCCCATTATTATACATAACCGGTAGCCTCTATCCGCGAGAAGTACACGCGTGTTTCGCGCCGACGTACATTATCGAGCAGCTCTTCAGCTTCCCTAGCACCGAGACCTCCGCGATCGGGATTCCTGGATAATTCCCATGGACTGCCGATAATGGTGGATGGCCAACGGCGAGCTTCCTCCCGTGAACCATCGCGAGGGCTGCGATTCTAATGGAACGGCGGCGCACTTCCGCGGAAACGACGCGGCGCCTCTCGTGTCGTTAACCGTGCTATTCGTTCACCGGAGTTCCAGCCGGTAGCTGAGAGACTAGTACTCACTACGATTTCTGTTTTAACGGCTTGTCCGGTGGTTTATTTTATTGCTAACGCGCCTGGTTTATGGCATTCAATTTTACTGGGGGCCTTCGTTGCTTGTCTCGTGAGTCTGGGAAGTCAGGCACCTTGGGGATGATTGGATTTATTTTAGAAGTGACCCTGTCCTAGGAAATTTGGTTGAAGAAATTGTTGAAAATAAATATTGTTCGAGTATTGATAAGTAGATGGGAATTTAGTAGCGAAGTACGTTGGAAATTATGGAATGTTGTTGTCACTTTTAATAGTGATAGTGAGGGTGACAGGAAATTTGGTTGAAATTGTTGAAAATATATACTGTTTGAGTATTGATAAGTAGATCTGAATTTAGTAGTGAGGTACTTAGCTTTGTACACTAATAATTGAGAATTTCTGAATATAACTATTTACCTTCACTGTCACTACCAAAAGTGAGAACAATATTCCATACTTTCCTACGTATCTCACTACCAAATTCAAATCTACTTATCAATACTCGAACAGTATTTATTTCCAACAATTTCTTTAATTACTTAGCTCTGTACATTAATAATTGAGAATTTCTGAATATAACTATTTACCTTTACCCTCACTATCAAAAATGAGATCAATACCTTCTTAAGTAATTATATTTAAAAATACCTATGTATCAAAGTTGAATAATTACACCTAGAAGTACCCAATTATTTACGTATCAAACCGAAAGGATTACATAGAAAAATCCCTAATTGCTTAACGAAGCTAAGTAATCGTATTCAGAAATAGCCGAACCCTCGTAAAACGTTGCAACGTTATTACTTCGTGAAAATATAAAGCACAGCCATAAAACGATGCAAAACTAATACAGCTTGAGACCAAGTTGCAACATGTTCCCTACCTCATCTTTAACCATCCCGTACACCGATCGCTCATGTAATGCCCGGACACATTCAACCCCCATTTTTCCGGCGTTCGCGCAGCGTTTCGCCGCGAGACACGTTTCAGACACATGCGTAGCTTCCAAGCGACCACCGTTTCCCCTCCAGACACCCAACACCATGGAAAACCGTGCTCGTGGAACAGACAGCCGGGCATCTCGGTTGCCGCGCACCATTCCCGTTCGCCGCCGCCTCTTCTTGTTCTCCTTTGCTCCTCTCCTTGTTCTTCGTCTTCGTCTTCGTCTTCGTCTTCTTCTTCTTCTTCTTCTTCGTCCTCCCGATTCCTTTTTTTCCAGCCCCGTGCCACTGTCTCTCGCTGTACGGTTATTTATAGGAAGAAACGATGACTGGTTTGATCGCGATGACTCGCGCCCGCTGTATGGACGACTATTATTAGGCCCGGAGAAATTCTGATGTGTTCCTATAAAGTTGACATCTGAAGATTCGCCTTGGGAACTCGCGTTCTTCCCGTTGCCCCGTTGGGAATGTTGGTTTTTGATTGGAAGCCTGATCCGAGGTGTGTGTTTGCGTCGGTCGGAAGTGGTTTTCTTACTTTTTTACTTATTAAGGGCTCCTGATTACTATAATCTGCTTGCTTATAGTAATTAAACAGCCATTTTTAAGAAGTAATTACAGTAAACATGATTACATATTATTATTGATAATGAATTGATCAAAATAATCGTATTCTTCGTATTATTATATATTTTTTATTCGCATGTATCTTTCATCGTTTTATTGTAAAAAATAATAGATAATTTGTGTTATTTGTTTCTGTTAGAAATTGTACATTGCTCCAGTTTCGAGAGTGACTGTAACTCATTTTAACGAAGAAGTTACAGTAAACACGATTGCCCATCATTCTCGATAATAAGACAGTCGCAGACAGCGAATAATCGTATGCTTTATATCACTGTATATTTTATTTATAGATTTTTTATTGTTCCATCAAGGTGACTCGGATCATAATTCTGCTTTCCTTTGGGTCCTCAAGCTTTTATAATCCCGCGAGAGGCAGGAAATTCATGGGCCTCGTTACGTATAACATCTCATTCGAATGAGGTCGCGTGTAATTCATTCGCGCGTTCATTAAGCCGCTCGAATATTCCCTGTAATTCTCCCCGATGATTCATTGATTTATTTTTGTCGCGCGATGCTCACCGGATTGACTGCCGCGCGTCGAAATATTCGGAGATTTATCTGGAGCGCACTCGCCGCTAGCTTTTTGTCTCGTCTCCGAATGTCTATCCGGGAAATCTTAAAATAAGTTATCTAAGGTATGTTACGTAAACGCCTGCATTTGCACGGAAAATTATTCGAATGTTACATATTTAGAGCGATACCTCTTGCACGTAATCCTCTCTGAAACTCCCGACTTTCTCCTTATTAAAATAGATTTTTAAGCTCCCCCGATCGTTCTTATTGCAAATCGCGTTCGTAATCGTTATTTATACGTCGTCGAATATTTTTCCATCTTCTTTTTTGCACCGCGGTTGAACACAGGAATGTTCTTATTTCTTCCTGCTCTTTTTTCGCATCATTTTTAAATGTTCCCCGTTACGAACGATCGAGTTGATCGATCGCTCTAGATCTCTAGTTCGAGGGGTCGGCGAAGGAAAAGGGAGGAGACTTTTGGCACCTCCATTTCTTTTTTCGCGTCGTTGTAGTACACAGCTGGAAGCCGTAAGCTCGTGGTCAAACAATACTCACGCGAAGGTACGTATCGAGTGACGCTTCGACCCTTGGCCTCGCCCTTTTGGCGACTCTTTCTGACTCGGATTTCGACTGATTTATCCCTGCCGCTGCTTCCGGTTAGAAAACTTCGTTTTACACCCGACGAACCACTGGAAGACATATTATTCGTTGAACTGGAAAATTTGACATTTTCTATCATTTCTCTCCATTTTTCTGAATTTTTCTTCCAAAGATGGAAAAATACAAAGCTCATCTGTCGCGTGCTTATATTCTACAAATTCCCAACACAGAAATGGTAATTATCCTGGCACCTACTGCTACTTCCCAATGAAGACACAAAAGCTTCTCGTAGAGCGAGCAATAAAAGAAAGGAAGGAATCCACGGGTGTAACCGAAAACGCATGACCAAATTCCAAGATAGTTACGCGTCTTCCCATAGAAATGGTACCAGAGTAACGTGTCCATTAAGTGTCGTCCAATAACAATAAAATCCCCAGTGGCCACGGTCGCAAATCATCGAATTACAACGGAAGAATGGGAGATTACAAAGAAGCGTTTCGACTGACGAGGAAAAAAAGGGGGGAGACACTCGGAATAAATCAAAGCCGCGGGGGTAAAGGGTTGGACTGGCCGCTACTCAACTTTTACCGGGTGGACACGAATCGCGTTAATGGCTCGCCTACGATGAATTACGGCCGAAACGGTGTCGTGTCGTTCGGGAACGGCCGCGTTGGATTAATGCCTCTATCGGTGGGAGCATTAGAACATTTTTTTTCCTCCTCGCTGGCGACTGTAAAAGTGAATTCTTCGAACGTCGCCGTCGTAATCCGGGAGCGTTGCTACGTGGAACGGTCATTTTACAAGGATGATTGTACACGTGCTTCGTTTAACTGGTTTCACGTCAGAGTCTCGGCGACGTTAACAATTCAGCTTTGTAGATGTCCTAGAGAATTAATTCATTGCA